GCAGGCTTTATATCACAATAAAGAGATTTGGAAATTTGGATTGGGGTTTTGGTGCATTTTTCATAAAACTTATATGGTGTTTATATGTCAGCCACTCCTGGAGACTTAATATCCAGACTCAGGAAAGTTCTGGAAAGCACTTTCTTTTATACAAGGTTTTAGTACTCCCTTTGTATTTTAGACACAAGGCACATGGAGTTGAATAGATTAGCCCTTGACTTCAGGTGATACGAGCTATAATCAGAGACAAAGATACACAAACAACAAATGAAGTGAGATGATGTCATTAACAGCTGTCATTTATTTATTTATTTATTTGTTTATTCATTTTTTAGGGCTTCCTAACAGCTAGCTAGCTCAGAGCTTAGCACTTCAAGTTCAGCCTCTAGTTGGGGCTCAGATCATTTAAGTAACTAGCCCAAGATTACATAGGTGGTAGTAGAACTACACTCGGATCCAGATCTGTTTTACCCAAAGTTTTGCCTTTATCCTATATCATTCACGCATATTCTGTAGAAAAAAGAGATGCAAAGCTTAGGGGAAGATAAAGAGGTAAGAGTATGTCAGGTGCATGAATAGTATAGACACGGCTCGGAGAAATTTGAGTATGACAATTTGCATATTAACAAGAAGTTCGCTATGATAGGAAGATACAGTTCATTTATCCATTTGTTCCGCAGATAATTGTTGAATGCATGTTGACTACCAAGTAATACAGTGAACTGAGTAAATGGCGATTGGTAGGAGATGAGGGTAGAGAAGAAATCGCCTTCCTAGAGAGCAGACTTGTTCTGTGACTAATCATAAGACCTGAACTATCAATGGTAGACTTAATTTTTTTATTTTATTTTTTAATTGCACAAGTATTTCTGTGAATATATCTGCAGTATTTTATTTTATTTTATTTTATTTTTGAGACAGAGTCACGCTTTGTTCCCCAGGCTAGAGTGAGTGCCGTGGTGTTAGTCTAGCTCACAGCAACCTCAAACTCCTGGGCTCAAGCAATCCTGCTGCCTCAGCCTCCCGAGTAGCTGGGACTACAGGCATGTGCCACCATGCCCGGATAATTTTTTCTATACATATTAGTTGGCCAATTAGTTTATTTCTATTTTTATAGTAGAGACGGGGTCTCGCTCTTGCTCAGGCTGGTTTCGAACTCCTGACCTTGAGCGATCCACCCGCCTCAGCCTCCCAGAGTGCTAGGATTACAGGCGTGAGCCACCGCGCCCGGCCTATCTGCAGTATTTTATAACCCGCACCCGGCCTATCTGCAGTATTTTATAACAACCTCCAGCTGTATCATTCTGTGGAGGGTACACTATAAGAGAGAGACCTGCTCAGTATATAGTTGGGAACTTCAATAATCAGAGCAGCTTAGAAAGGAAAAAGCTGCCTGGCAGCCACATGAACAGACATCACCGAAATGGCCAGACACTAGACAGACATCTTTCGTGGCTTCTGGAAGAAGGACTGGAGTTATAATGAGGCAGAAGGTTTGGCGGAAATGACCTTACATTTTTTTCTAGATCTGAAATTCTATTTGTTTCCTACTGTGCGTAGAAAATTCTGCAGGCTAAGGGGAAAAGATAGAAGTAATAGAAAAAAAATAGTTTCATATACATTTATGTTGAAACTTCAGTTCATTTAGCTGAACTACAGTTGGGCCAAGGACATTTATAAAGCAAAGGGAAAATTAAACCACAAAATATTAAGAAAAAACTGAGGGAAAATTATTATAGCATGCGTTTTCTTATCTGTTAAACATTCTATTGCTTAAAAGTTACTGAGTAAAAATGAAGACCCAGAGAAATTTCAGTATCATTGAGAAGACTGTCATGGTCAGTCTGTGGTCCAAGTCTGCTTTCCTAGCTACTGAAATCCCCCCTTAAGGCACCGGACCCGTTAGATGATTCAGCAAGCTCCTAGTATTAGCATGTTTATGCGGCGCCCAAGACTTCAAGACTCTGTAGATAACAGCATGAAAAAAAGGATGGCTATTACTTCCATTTTCTAATGTAATGGGAAATAATTGTGAAGAACAGTCAAAATGTTAATCTTGCCTGCCTCTGGATTTTAAGCTTTGAAAAACAGACCAGGCGAGAGATTGGGTTTTATTTTTTTCCAGGCTGGCCTGACCTATTCGACATTAGGCTGTTAGTATTTTACTTTTCTCATTGGGATTGGAAAATAGTTAAAGATTGTTTATTCTAGTAGAAGACAAGCTCTCTGGGAACGGAGGTTTTGTCAGTTCTGTTCATGGCAGTAGCCAGAGAGCCTGAAGCAGACCCTTGAATTAGCAGAGAGTCGAACGGTGTCATGTGTGAATAGATCGGTTAGCAATTATAATAGAAACTGCTTAAAGACCTTTGGGAACATTTCTTCACCTGACTTTGCCAGAAATAATTCACTGAAATGGTAAGAGAGGCCGATAAATCTCGACCTCATTTCCTTTAAGTGATGCAAGTTGTCTGCCTTACAGTCAAGATCCTAAGTTATACATCTTTTAGGGAACTCTCAACATTATGACAGGATTAAGTATGTCCTTATTGTGCATCTGGGGACATTTTAAAAAACCAGAATTTCTGGCTGTTTGGGGCTGCCATAAGGGATAGAGCCCATAGGAAGCTGTCTCGTCATCCGACCCATCCCTTCCACATTTCTGATATGGAGTCGGCCCGTTTCTGACTATTTCCAGCGATGAAGTGCTCTCTGTGTCACAGGGCAGGTTACTTCCCCGTTGGAGTTCCCTAGATGGGAGCCATCCCCTTGATGTAGAACCAGAATCTTGCTCTCACTTCTGCTCGCTCAGCTTCCTCCTTCCTTCCGATCAACACAGGATGTCAACACTCACTCATCCACAGCACCACACTTCAGCACCCTGAAAACAGCTACTGTGCTTCATCTTGGACTTCTCTAGGCTGAACTCCACCTGCTGGTCTTGTAAAAACAATAGCAGCAATTGCTAGTATTTTTGGTGTTCCTACTTATATATCCCAAGATCAGTTTCAGGCATTTTCCACACATTTTAGCTCATCATCACACTAATGTTAGAGATTTTATTCCACTCACTGCCAGATGACACAACCAAGGTCCCAAGAGGTTAGGTAATTAACCCCAAATCACAAGGAAAATTTATTTTTTGGGAGAACTAGAATTTAAATCCTGTCTGCTAGATTCCAAAATCTAGAATGTTGTTTCCATTTGGGTAGCTATTTATCCAGACACTGACCCACTGAACAACAGCTGGTTGCCTGAATCAAGCACTGTACCTACAAATGGAAGTAAGATGGATTTCCTCTCAAGTAGCTCATCTAGTGGGCCAGAAGAAACACAATTACAAATAACCTTGAATACAGTGAAGTAGCTGATATCGAATCCCACCTCCTCAGCTTATGAACTATGTAAATGTGGGCAGTCTCTTTGTAGTTCATTTTTTTCTGACGTAAAGCAAGGAATCAATAATCAATTTCAAAGGGTTTTATGAGGGTTGAATGGGACAACACATGTAAGGCACTTAGAAACTGTCCCTGGCACATAGAAACTACTTAGTAAATAACAGCTTTAACTCCGTATGCACAAGATGTAGTGGGATACGTGTCCCGCTTGGGCTTGAGTTAATTAGGTTAGGTGGTCGTGCCACCAGGATAGGGAGAAGAAGGGAGGTAGCATGTTTAGAGAAGACTGTGATGAGTAGTGTATTGAAAATACTGAGAGTTTGATATTGGTAGACATTTGATATGTGAGTCTGCAGCTTTGAGATACCTGGGCTAGGTAGAGATAAGAACTGGACAGTCACCAGCCTTCAGCCTGTGGGAGGTAACCTAGACAGAGATGGGGTGTGAGGGGTCAATAGGTGAAGAGGTCAATAGGTGCCTATAATGATCATAGATTTTGTTACTCCAAATTGTCATTTACATTTGGTGGGGAAATGTATGCTGACAGTACAGTCTTCCCATGCTCCCCTGATTAGACAACCTAGTGGCCTGGAGGGGGGGGAAATAAGAGGAAAATACAGCTTTATAAGAGAAAGAAAATATATTAGAAGTGAAATTACAAAGTCTTCTTGGAGAATTGGCAACATTATCTTAAGAATTGAAGCGGGAGTATGTTTTCTTGCATCACACATGTCTCTGTCCAAAGTTTTGTCTCTCAAATATGTACTTTTCAGCTTCAGATTACTTCCTTTCTGGCTTAGGTTTATTGCTGTCACTGTAATGGCAGATATTTCTTCAGGAATATTCTTAGAGATACTTCTTAACCCAAGAAGAATCTGAAGCAGGGAAAAAAGTATAAATTTTGGTGTTAGATTAGGATTTCATTTATGAATTTGCTACTTATTTTCTGTGAAGCTTTGAGCAAATTAGTGTCTTATTTGAGCCTTAACTTCCTCAGCTGTAAACAGGGATAATAATGTCTACTGGCTTATTTTAAGGATTAAGTTAAATAATGGATAAAATGCATCTGGCCTCTAATATATGTGCTGAAATTATTGGTTGCTATACTAACATTATAACCAATGTTGTTATTTGTTATTTTTCAGGAATTCAGACTTCAATTAGGAATAAACTTATATTAGAAATCAGTTGATAATGACGGTGATAGAAATTTGCTACATACTGTATTAGCATGTGCCAGGCACTATTCTAACACTTTACAGCTATTAACAGATTTGATCCTTATAAGTGCACTGTGAGTAGCCTTAGTATCATGCCTGTTTTACAGATGAAGAGACTGAGGTTTGGACTTTAAGGAACTCGCTCAAATTATTGGTTTGGAAGTAATCAGACTGAGATTGCGGACTAAACAGAAATTCTTTTTAGAATCCTTTAAGAGGAAGCCTTGATCATAGAGTTCTCATGTCAGTATTTGGATGTTTCCAAAATATGCATAGAACATATGCCAATTAGAGTGGTTCTACCATTAGCTAATATGTTTTTAAGATTGTTTGAATGCTCCATTAACAGCGTGACACTCTAAACAATGTCTCTCTCTAATTTCAGCCTGTGAAGTTGAAGCAGAGAAAGTATACCAGGTCTCCTCAAAAGAGCACATGCAGCCTTTCAAAGAAAACATGGAACAATTTATTATTCAAGGTAAATTTTGTAGAGATGTGTTATGTTTACCTCCCTTTTCAGCAACAAGGTAGAAGACAATTTTTAAAAATTACACATTGGTTTAAAGGGGATTATTTTGACAGTACAGAAAAACAGATTAAGTTTAATCACGACTAAGAGAATTGTGAGAGGCTAGCAATTAGTTAAACATGTTGTGGATAATACTCACTATTATTGTTTTCTTGCCTCACAGTAAATACACTAGATATCAGTTAAATTTGCTCATATTTATAAAGATGTTTTAAAAATTCTATGCTTTCTGTGGTAGAGAATTAGATATTCTTTTAAGTTTTAACTATGCTTATGACCTCAGTTCGATCTGGTATTTATTTGGTCAAAACATTATACCCAAAGAACAAAGTATATATTTTTTTCAGGTCTTCAGAACATTATTTGCTACTTTTTAATAGGATACATTATTACCAATGGATATTTAATACCTTTCTTCCAGGGAGGTTAAAAACTTTATAAATATTATCTCATTGACTCTTCCTGCATCCCTATGAGATAAACAGAGATGGAAAATTTTAGAAGATACTAAATAAACATTTTTTAAAAAAGGAAAAAATATATTAAATATTAATATTAAATTCTTATTAATTAATAAGAATTATTTAATATTAATATTAAATTCAATATTAAAAATCTTGCTGTTTGAAATTATCAAAACTTACAATTATATCAAAGCAGTTAGTACTCAAAGTATTTCAGTTTGGGAATGTTGTGCTGAAGATCAGATTCGTGTCATGCCATACCCTGGGAAAGTTCTTACTGCTTCAGGAATTCTGCCGAAGGCTGGCATGGCATGAGACCAAGGCCAAGTAGCACTCTGAAGACTGGCTCCATCCTCTGTTTGCTAGGTTTTTATAGATTGTTCAAGTGTCATTAACTATGATTTACAATGAATGAGTCATACTACAATTTGATCAAATGTTAACCACAGCTTTTTTTTTTTAGATGGGAAAATACGATTTAATCATTTATGATAATCATGAAGATTGAAATAGAACTCTGGTCAGATTCATAAATCAAAGTGATTGTCATTTTCAAATCCTGAGGTCCTCATGACTTAGAGTGGAAAATCTACTCACTGAATCCTAAAAAAGTCCTTTGGCCAAAATCATTAGTCCTGTGGTTATATATTAGAGGACCTTCTTAGTGGTTAATAAAACTGTCCTGCTTTTTCCATCCAGTGGGGTTTTAGGATCAAGAATCTGTAACTTTTAAAAAATATGTCTGTGACTTTATAAAATAATATAGGTAAAAGCATGGAATGCTCATTTTGGGCTTGTGGGAAGAAAGGAGTTCTTAATCCTAGGACTTACTCAAAAAAGTCAAGCAGTTTGCTGGGTTCCACATCCAAAATATAAACAGGTGTCACTCATATTGTTGCCCACATTATATGTGATTTATTATGTAATGTTCTGAATCAGTATTTTATAGACCAGACATTGAGATTGTTTTTATATGACTAAATCTTTGTTATTTTTTTCAATGAATAGCAAAATTATATTTTGCAACCCATTGTGATTTAAAAAATTATATTTTCAAACCACACATGGTCATCAACATATGATATCTTTAATCATTATTTGTGATGATTCAAAGAGTGTATAGAGACCTTTAGAATTTGTCTAGTAGTTCACTCGTAGGGAAGTCAGGATTGCCCAGTCTTGCTAAGTGGATGAATATCTATTCAGATTTTAATGATCTTCCAGAAAGATCTTTTGACCTCCTTGTTATAAGATTGAGATTTAGCAATTTGTATACTTTTTATATTAAATGAAAACATCAGTGTTGTAAGGATACTAACTTGTATGCTATATGCTTCACCTTTTTACCATTAAGTTAAACAAGATGAGTCTTTCTTCATGGCTCTTCTTCCACTACTTTCAAGTGCCTTTTCATTTCTTCTCCGGTCCTGTTCACGTGTTCTGTATTTATTTGTTCATCAATACTTTTTTATAACTTTTTAAAATTTTATATTTGTATGTGTTCATGGGGTACAAGTGAAATTGTGCCTGATATATTGCATGTTGGGGCCTTCAGTGCACCCATCATAAGAGCAACGCACATTGTACCCACCAAGCACCTCCCATCGTGCACCTACCTGCCACCGTCCTCCCATGCCAGCCCCCGTTGTTCATTTTTCCACACTCTGCTTCCACGTGTGCACACATTATCTAGCTCCCACTTACGAGTGAAAACATGCAGTATTTCTCTTTCTGTAGCTGAGTTGTTTTACTCGAGATAATGGGCCTACGGTCTATCCCCCATTCTTTCCCCTTTTTATCTATTACAGAAAATGCTTATATGAACCTTTGTGTTCACAGCTCCTGGTGTACATGCGTATTCTCTCCTTGTGGTACAAACCTAGGAGAGGATTTTCTGGGGCACAGAATATATGAATCTTCAACCTCTGAGGTAAAGCCAAAGTGTGTTATTGATAGGAAAGTAATTAGTTCCAATCTATACTTCTACCACCAGAATCCACTTGTGTTAAATCCTTGGCAGCACTTGATTCTTAGATTTAATTCTTTTGACCCAATCTACTCTTTAAAATGGTATCCCATTGAGGTTTTCATTTGTATTTTCCTGATTATTTATAAGAAGTAGTGTATTTTCACGATTATACTTATTTCCTCTTCTATGAAATGCTTTTGTGAGTCCTTTGGCTGTTTTTCTAACAATTGGCCTTTTACTTACAGAGTTATTAGGGATTACATATTTAGAACATTAAAACATGGTCAGATAAGTTGTTGCAAACATTTCTCCCATTCTGGAGCTTGTCTTTTCATTTTTCTTCTGCTGAGTGTTGATAAACAGAAGTTCATTTTTTTCTATGTAGTGATATTAACCTTTTCCTTGATGGTGCATAATTTTTGCTTTAAGAAATTCTTCCCATCTACAAATTTATAGAGACGGTGTCCTTTATTTTCCTGTACAAATATCATAGTTTTGCTTTCCATTTATTCCTTTAGTGTATTTTAAATTGATTTTTGTCTATGATCTGCAATAGGAGTCAAATTTAATTTCTTGTCATACAGAATGCTGTTTTAGTTATTTAGTACCATGTAATGAATAAGCCATCTTTTCTCTAATATACAGTGCCATCTCTATCCTGTAGACATCTTCCATATATGTATGTATGGTTTTCTTGGGTTTTTAGGGTTTTCTCTATACAATTTTGTTAGCCTCTCTACATTATCTGTCCTTATAACAAACTCTGCTACCGTCTTACTTACTGTAGCTTTCTAATGAATCTTGAAATGTGGAAAGGCTAGACTCCTCTTTACAAAGAGAATTATGCCTCTTTGTAAATTATTCTGCTATATAATTTTAGAATTAAGTTGTCAAGTTCCACCAAAATAAATCCATTAAGATTTTGACACAATTACATAGAGTCTGTAGATCAGACTGGGGAGAACTGAGGTCTTTATGATATGGAGGCTTTCTGTCTATGAACATGGTATAGACTGGCATTTACTTGTATCTCATTTAACGTCTGTCTAAACAGTTTTAAATTATATTGAGGTCTTAACATTCTTCATAGATATATTCCTAAAAACCTTATTTTTTGCTTATATTTGTGAATTATATTTATTGTTTTTGAAGATATATAAAATTCAAATAACTATTATATAAAGATATTGTATCTTATAAACTTGCTAAAATCTTCTTAATATAATAATATGTGATTTTTTTTAAGTTTTCTTTGGAGATATCACTGTAAATAATGACAGGGCTTTTTGTTTTTGTTTTGGGGTTTTTTGGGATCTCTAGGGTTTTTTTTTGTTTTGTTTTGTTTTTGTCCTTCTATTTGTTTTTTCCGGCTGTGTTGCATTGGCTGGTACCTGCAGTATAATATGGACAGATAGAGTGGAAATGTCATTTTGCAAAGGGGCATGATTAGAGCATTAGAAAGAACTATTTAGAGCATCTTTGTAAACAAATTACCACAAATTGATTGAATATTTTCTTTTTATTTTTTCCCTCTACTGCTTTGCAAGATATATTCTGTTTCTTTATTCTTTTAATGTATACCTTTGTTATTTTGACACAGTTCTTTTTGTGTATTTTTTTAAGGTACCCACATAGTGTTTTGATACACATATACCTACTAACATGATTACTATAGTCAAGCAAATGAACGTATCCATCATTTCACATAGTTACCTTTGTGTGTGTGTGTATGTGTGTGTGGGGGTGGTAAATGTACTTACAATTTATTCTCTCAGCAGACTTTCAGTATACAAACAATGTTATGAATTATAGTCTTTATGTTGTACAATAGATCTCTGGGCTCATTTATGCTGCATAATTGCAATATTATACCCTTTGTTCTCTACCTCCCTGTTTTCCCCAACCTCCCACCCTGTTTCTATGTATTCAAGTTGTTCAGTTGGTTGATTTGGGGATGTTTTGAAATTTATGTTTTTTAGACTACCCATATAAGTGAGATAAGGCAACATTTTTCTTTCTGTTAAAACAATTCTTTAACAAAGTTTAATTTTGCTATTTTTACTTCCCTTTAAACAATACAAGTCTTTAGCATGTTTTAATAGTAATCTCACCCATTTATTTATATGCCATTCTTTTCCAGTGTTTTAGTTTCACTTTATGTTTTTTAAAACTCCTGAAATATAGAATTATTATCATTTGATATATTCATTTTTCAGTTTAAATTTAACCAAATCCCATTTTCTTTGCCTACCATTCCTTCCTATTATGCATGTCTGCTAAGATTATTTTCCTTCTTTCTGAAGCACGCCCTTTACAACTTACACTTTGTGTGGAAATATCCATTGTGCTTGTTTTTGAGAGATAGATTTGCTAATTATAAAGTTCTGGGTTCAAAGTAAATTCCTTGCAGCCGTCTGGAGGCCTCTGATTCCTCTCTTTCCTTGCTGCATTGTCAACTCGACTTGGGTCCAGTTTTTGTTTCTTTGTTTTTAATCTAAATTTTCTCTCAGGCTCTT